TAATGCTTAACTAACCGTAGGACACAAGGCTGTAGAAGACCTGCTTCAGTTTTTGAAACTATAAAATAGGGCTAACGGTACCAACCTCTTTTTAAAATGCTTTGAATTTTTTCAGATAAAACAAGCATGGAGTTATACTGATGTTGAACCTATGCCTACTACAGAAATCAAACATAGCTCAGAGATTCAAACATGGTTCATAGACTGTGTCATCCCAATCTAGAGCTCTGAGAAAAAATGAATAGAAAGCACAGCAAGTGTCAGCTTGCTGCTTCATGTAAAAGCATTGTGAATGAAACATGTGAAAACAGCAGCTGCATAAGCAAAGAACAGAAATTATGATTTGTATAGCTTATAGTCATTGAATATCGTAACATAATCAAAATAAAATATTTTGTGCTGCCAGGGTTTATATAATTTGGTCTCTTTTCTCCCTCTAGCATATTATACTTCAAAATCTTAATGACTCATTTATATTGCACACGCTTTGCAAAATAATGCCAATTGCCCATGAATCTACACAAAACAGCAATTTGCTAAAGATTTTGTTGGCTTTGCAATGCAAAAGAAAATAGACAAACACAACTAATGCATATGCTGGAAAGCACCAACAAATTCTTCAAGTCCTAACTACCAGTTCTGGAGTACATTTTGAACAAATTGTTGATTAGCTGTAAGAGTTATAATACATGTTAGCTAATACTTGAAAACTTGTCTGGTATGCTTGAATTAGGCTGAATTTAAACAAGGCATGTAATAATCTACCTAGGCCTAGTCGTTTTGACAGTACTACCGAAGAGAAGTCACTTCAGTATTGATCCAGAGTGAGGAGAGAATGAGACCACCCATGCTTTTAAAATACTGCTATGGAAAACAGAAATCAACTGACTTAGATGTTGACATGAGTAAGAACGCGAGTCATGACCATATAAACCAGAGTGAAAAGCAGTCCTGCAATTAACCCTTTGCAATAAACCACTTTTTGACTGGTATCGCTGACTTCAGCAGCAGTCATAAAGATATAGGAACTCCAGGTTCTCAAAATTATTACTGAAAGAAGGGAATTTATTTTAGTATCTAACCTTGAAAACTTGATTACAACGTGTTCATAAGGTCCAACCTCAATTTCAGAAAACACAGACTACTTGCCTTACAGCCAAAATATGCAATGGATTTAGGAAAGCTGGGTGACTGGTGGGAAGCACTGTAGCTATTTTCACCAGTTTGTTCCACTCAGTTTCTCAGCACCATCAGTTAAGGCTCTCTGCAAGGATTTTCATTAGTAGAGAGCACAGCAAACGCTCGTTCCCTGGTAAAGTTCCAGTCCTGCTTTCTGAAATAGAAGATAGTCACTAGAATGTCTTTTAAACTGAAGCTTCTGCACACTCAGAAACTAGCAATACAGAGCTAACAGAAGATTTTTGGCCCATTCTAAGTTGATCACATTGATTTTGTGCAGCTAGTCAATGAATTATAAGGTACTGTTCTGTATGTACTTGAGTAGAGAAGCCTTCTTTTTCATTCAGGACCATATTTTCATCAAATCCTTCTATGTTTCTCAGAAATGTATGCCAAAAAAACATTTTGATATATGTCCATTCCTTTCTCTTTGAATCTCACTCTATTTTAGAGTGTGAGAAGATACTTAAAGTAGTAGAGTTTACATTTGTTTGAATGTTATGGCTGTCTTTGTTGGCAAGATTCATCCCATCTGCTTTTACCTATGTAAAAGTTGACTACCTCCTCTAAACCTCATCTAGGATTCCTGTACACTATTCAACAGAGAAAATTAGGGACTATCAGAGAGCAATCATCTCATCTTAATTTTAGGTGGTTTACATAGTTTAGATGAATGACCATCTGGACGCAGGTTTTTTCCTGTTAGTTTAAAAAAAAAAAAAAAAAAAAAAAAAAAAGGGGAAAAGTAAATGACTCGTGCATCTGAAGCCAAATTTAGATCATTAAGTGTAGGTGAAATGCATTTTACCATTACTGATTGGCATCCACTTTGGATTGGACTATCTCAGACTTATACCATGGACTTTTCTAGGCCACGGTAAGAAAACCCACTCCAAATCTCCACCTATTAGTGAGAAACAACTTATGGATGCCAGCAACTTCTATTAAAAACATTAAATATATCAGTCCCTATGGCACAATGATTCATGAAATTACATTGTTTATAGCATCTCAAATAAAGGAAAATCTGTAGTCTCCAAAATAAATACTGAAGAAGTGCAATATTAGAGAAGTTTATAAGATTCCAAGCAGTTAATAATAAACAGGACAAAAACAACATGTCCATATGCTGGCAGAACAACGCCTCATGAATCATGCACCTACTGTGAACAAATATTTGTTGTAGGGGTTCACTGTGGTTTTTTGATGTGTCATACTGCATTCATAGGATGACATCTGAGAAGAGAAGATGAGCAATGAAAGAATAAATGTTTTGGATGATAGTAATAGACATTTTTTTAACCTTTGGCTGGATCTACTCCAAGACCTTCCAGTAGTACTCTTACCTAGTGGCAGTCCCACCACAGTGCCATCCAAAAGATTAGAGAATGAACTCAAAGCTGAATAATTATTCATACAAATGAACTGGCAATTTAAGCTAATGAGGTAGGAGCTGACAAACACAGAGTAATCTCCACACATGACAGAGAATTTTATGGCTAGTATTGAGCTCACTAATTCTTTTCTTCAATAATCTAATGATCTTGTAATCAGTGCAGGAGAGGCACAAGCATTGTCAGATGAAAGACTTGAAACAACTATCTCCAATCTATTCCAATGCAATCTCCTATCTATTGTTGGCCAAAATCTCCCCCTCCTCCTTCTCGCCGTAGCATTCAAAGTATTTTAACTCTAACCAAGGGTATGTGATCTCAAAAAGATGTAACAAAAACAAAACAGCTACTTCAACTGTTGGACACACCAAATCTCCTAAATATTTTTATTCCTCCCTCTTCTTCATGTTACTATTGGCAGGAAAATGTTACAGAAGACATATAACTTTTTTAATAATAATAATTAAAATATTATATTATCTAATATAACATTTATAATACCTATTTAAAATAATAAAACGTAAAAATAACTTTTAACATAGTGATGCTGCGAATATTGTCACAACTTGCTCTGAAAAGGTTGGAAATGCTATAATAAAATCATCAGTAATCAAAGAACTTTGTTGCTTAACACCATATCTGAAGCAGAATTGGTGGTAATAACAATGGGAATTTGGGGAAGAAAAGACTATTGCAGACATGGTCTGAGAAGGCTGTGCACACCCAACAGCAGGGAAAGATCTTTCTCTCAGGACTCTTGATGGTCATTCCTCACTGTGTTCTTTCTAAATAGAGCATTCACTGCCTGTAAAGCCAGTGAACAGGGACAGTATTGCAGACAAATGGAGAGGGCAGCACAAATCTCAGTTAGAGTACATTTTGAGTAGGAACTATTTTATCTTCAAGATGGAGAAAGGAAACAGTTGCTTCAGTGGCTGAGAAAATAACAAATGCTTCAGGAGAAGCTCTGGTTAATACAATGAAAAGGCTACAAACTCCCTATCAATGTTGTGGACTGACAGTGCTTTCCAGGACATGTCTATACTGAGGCACCCACTTCTGGCAGCCACATGATAGATACCTCAAACAGCATGATTTGAATCTCTTTCCTAGGCATTTTGGCTAAACTCTCGCTGAAAGCATGGAGAGAAAGAGAGCCAAATTATTTATGTGTTATAATAAAATTGTTCTTCCTAGAGGATGTGGAAGAAGTGGAAACATGCTTTCCACAGATACTACCGAACAAAAAGAGAGACATGGCCACTAGAAGACTACACAAACAGTTGAATCCATCTGGAAGAAGGCATGCTCACGTATGTCCACAATCAGATGAAAAAACTCAAGGAACGAAGAACAAAGGACACCTAGGAGTGATTGCAGACAGCCAATTATACAACAGCTTGCAACACAGCTGCAAAGATCAATAGAACTTTGTGTTGCACGCACATATGCATCTTGAGATAGTGCAGACTGGACATTTTAACAGTTCAATTTTATACAGTTCCCATATGATCCTACATGGAATACTACAGTCAGTTGAGCATCAGATTACCAGAACCATATGATGAAAACTAGGGAAATTTCTGAGGTGAGCAATGCTTTGTTATAGATTACTATTTAATTTTCTGTATAAACACATTTATAGCACATCTAAGAGCTTTCAGAGAAAGAACTATAAACATCAGTCTGGTAGTATTCGCAATGTAAACACCAAGAATAGAGGGAACAAATTATAACTGTAGACACGGAGAAGTAATGCATCTATTGGGAAAAAAAAAGGGGTTTTGAACAAAAAGTATCAGGCTTTTGAATAATGTCTTAAAAAATATGAGAGAATCTTCATTGTATGAAAACCCATTAGCAGGACAGAAGGTCAGATGACTTCAATGGGTAATTTAAAAAGTACACTGTTCAGATCCTACCCTGCACTAGTTTTCTAACTATTGATTGGCAAGAGGTGAAACCTAAAGTAATTAAGGGCACTCATGAACACATGAAAGAGTAATGAGGAACATGTCTGCATTTTTCTGTATGGACTCCTTTGAGGTTCTGCTTGCCAGAACAGTGCAGAGACACCTGAACTCCTAGCAGGAGGAACAGGGCTAGTCCAAGGACCCCACAACAAAGCTGCATTAACCAGATATTCCACAGTTTCTTTGGGCAAATAAGGAATTTACCAGCTTTGGATTTTTTTTTTTTTTTTTTTTTTTTTTTTTTTTTATGGTTTGAAATCTAATTTTTCATTGTTTTACATCTTGCAAGTAAGAATTTCTCCAAGATCTATTTCTTTCCCTGTCTTAGGTGGATGCAGCCTTAAGAAACACAGTAAGTCCCAGAGAGACGTCAGAAGCAGAGGGTGGAAATCAGTCATGCAATCCCTGTCTTCAGCACATCAGCTGACTAACTGTACCTGAAGAACTGACTTACCCAGTGCAGAGATTTATAGACTGTGTTATAATTTAGCTGTCGGCACAACAAAATACGTTCTGTTATCCACGTCATCTTCTGCAAAGACATGTTTCTGCAAAGGGAAAGAAACGCATTTACTTCTCATCCATCTGCACAGCTCTACTGTTTGCAGCAATTACTGCTTGCCTGCAGACTTCTCTAATCACTGAGCAGAGAGAAAAGAATTCTTCTAATTGCTGAGTGGTTCTAGTTTCCCAAAATAGTTGACCTTCTTCCTTTTTGAAGAAAAAACTTTCCCCTGCGTCTATGCCTGCTTTCCAACCCCCTTCCTGCTGGCAGACATGAGAAGAGAGCTGTGTTTGTTTTCACGGTAAATGGGAGGCCGGGGCAGTGACAAGGCTGATCTCACAGTTTCCAGTTATAATATTTGATTTCTTTACAACTGCACATATGCAGAACTCAGAAGCTAAACTAGTCCAGTAAGAGCAAAATGCGTAAAAATCTCACAGAAAAAGAAAAAGAGAAAAAAAAGGTTTGAGGGGCAACAGCATGGTTCTTGACATGAAAGCAAATACTCCAGCTAAGAGACAAGAGTTATCTGGCCCAAAATCACTGAACACTGCAGCTGAGCCACTACATCCACATATAGGGACATGTCAGATTTTCAAGTGTTGAAGTTCCAGGACTCTATAGTGAAACTAGACAAAGCTAGGCATTTTTAGGTCACATGAAACTGTCCCTATAGGGCTCAGGAAAATAACTTCAAGGCCCACTTAGAAAGAAGAGAAAAAACAAACTAACATTAAAAACTTTCCTTATCTCCCACTAACAGAGACAACCATGTATCAGTCACCATGACAATGCTGGTTTGCTGCTTTGAAGTTCATGTAATTTTAACATACAAAATTCTTGTCTTCAGCTTTATATTAACATTACTGATATTAAGTGTTTACACTGATCACTTTCATACATTGGAGGGGTTTTTCTACTCAGTTTTTCTTTTTTTTTTTTTTTTTTCTTTTTAATTGGACAATGAGAAGAATGACAGAAATACATTTCAACAGGAATTAAAACTAGAAAGACAGGATTTTCAAAAGTGAACAGTTAATTTTTTAAAATAACATTTTAAGAACCCTTAAAAATGACTGATCATCTGCTGGAGAAACTCAAAACTTCTCCAAATGAAAGAGCTGAAGTTTGAGGAGGAAATTCATTGAATAGATATCATTACTAGAAGGTTTTTTGACAGAATTGTCCAAAATATTCAGATAATGGACATCCAGAGGTAAAAAGCTGATGCAATATTTCCAGCCCTGGCATTAAATTCATTATCTTTGCAGTCATTATATGTTTGAGGCAGGAGGATTTATTTATTTATTTATCTTTATTTTATTTTAATGGAAATTCTTCCCTCACGTACAGACTTTCAAACTGAGATTCACCAAATAGCATATACTTTTGGAAGACTGCGGAATCCTTTCTTTTGCTGTCAGCCCAGCAACTGGGAGCCCAGCTATTCTGTTGCCTCAGAAAGGTGAGCTCAAGCCTGCAGCCTCACTGATGCAGACCTGGAAGCCCAGCGGCCTCCTGGCTTCAGGTGAGTCTCCCAGGTTATTAAACATGGCAACTCCCAAGCAGACTGGCATGAGGCAGGCTGTGTTGCAGACAATTAAATGGGTCTCCTTAAAAAGAGACACTCTCCTTAAAAAGAGACACATTTCCTCAGCAAGCCTTTTTAGCCTCTATCAACACTGACACTATGCAGTACACTTTGTTTCATCCCGTTCAGCTTTCTAACAGAAGGCGTTTTGTGGGTAAAGGCTCAAGAAAGTTCTAGCTGTCCATATATTCTTACCTTGAAAACAACTTTTGTTTTTATTTCAAGATCAGTGACACAGAAAAGATCGCTTGTGAACAGCATTGTAACTGGTGTGTTGAGCTCTACTGTTAATCTGCAAGTTATCAAGCAAACCTGGGGTTTTGTTCATATTTCCTAGAGACTGCCTGGACAGAATTGGTGTGTGGTCCAAAACCTACTGATGAGAACATTCAGATGGCAGATATTAAGAGCTAGACTGCTGCAGACTTGGTGACCTGTGTATTTCCAGCCCTGGCATTAACTTCTCTGGAGCCTTTATTCACCAAGCACTTCAAGTCAGTGGGAACAATTTCCACCCTTCCCTGGCATAGATGCTTGCAAATGAAACGACGATAGGAAGCACTCAGATTTCTTTCAAATCTCAGAAACCTTATTTCAATTTGTGTTTTGGAAAGGACTTGGGAAGTACTAATTACTCCAGATGGTTCATTCCAGGACAAGCACAGAAAGAAGAAGAACAAGGCTCTCTGCCTCTTGTTGCAAAAGAGCAAAGCCGACCCAAAGCAGAAGCGAAGAGAAGCAGAAGTACACAGTAAACTAGTCTTGGATATATGTTAGCAAGAGGTCACAGCACACTTGTTGCTCCTCTCAAACAGCCCCATTCTGACACCATAAAATAGAGCAACTTAGGATGACTGAATTAGGCCAGTTAGAGGTATCTTTTCCATAACTGCACACCAGTTGGGAACTGATGTTACACAGCCACATTCGCTCTGGCACCGTGCCCTCTTCTAGGGCAAACCTTAGGAGACCATTACCAAAGGTGCCCATTCCTCCACTCCAAAGAAATTACTTTTGGGCAAGATAGCTCTCCATGAATTCTTTGTGCTTCCAAAGGAGCAATGTGGAGACAATCTAGGACAAATCATGCGTCTGAAATGTTGACCAAACACATTATTAATTTCCACAGTTAGCTCAGAGACCCCTCAGTTGTGGCATGCCAGGGATTAGAACAACCAAAGGATTTTTGCCCACAGGGCTGTGCCAGCCTCACATATGTTATCAGTCGTTCCAGTTGTGCTCAGGTTAATAACAAGGAACTTTCTATTTTTTCACAGTATGACAGGCAGCTGGACAGATTGCAGCTAACCGACAACGCTTATGTTCATCACATAACACTGAACATTAAAGAGTGCTATGACTTAATATGTGTGTTCACGCTGTAAAAAATACTTCTTCTGCATCATATGCATATCAAATGACTTCTACACTAAGTTCCTACTTGTAGATTTTCTAGCATGATTCAGTAAATTATTTACTCCACCCCAAAACACTGCTATCCTTCTAAGTATGCATTTGGCTATATTTTTGAATGTTTAAAGTTTATAATTTTTAATTAAAATTAATTGAATGGCAGAGTTTAATATGCTGTAGTTATTTTACAAAGTGTTCTTCCATATATGGGATTTCAAGATGATGATAAAAAGGAAAATAATCAGTTCATTTTGCTCACACTCCATCTATCCCAGTTTGGTCATATCTGAGCGTGCTAAGGTTTTCTAATGCAAGAGGTTTGATAGCTAACCTTATCCTTATCCTTCTTTTGGCCCCAGTCCTCTACCCAAAACACAATCCCCCACTCTGACAGAAAGTGCCCTTATGAATACAAATGCCTGTGGACAACTTTTTATTTGGCAGCTGTATAACATTATGGACTTATTATCCGTGAAGGAGTACTACTTTCCTCAAACTGGAATTAAAGTGCACTAGGAAACCAAGAAAAATGTTGTTATTGCACATCACACTGGGTCAGACAGCTTTAGAAAATCCCCAGAAGTAAAGGAAAAAACCATTTGCTTTTTTCCTGTACCATCAGTATCATCTGACCAACTGCTAATTGTACTGCTGAGGTTTTAAAGACCTCTATTCAGGTAAGTGCTGGCCAAAAAAACCCGCTCTCATTCATCAAAGCACAAGTACTTTCAAGAGTAGCCTAGTAACACAGAAAAGACTTAAAAATCCTCAAAGTCCAGCCACCTATGGAGCGATCATGTGAAAAAATGTCAAAGAATCACTTTTGTAAATGCTTAAGACAACTGCTACTGAGTGGTAAATACAAAATACTGTTTAATTGCAATTTTCAAAAATTCTTCCTGCTTTCAGTCATTATATGTCTGTCCCTCTGATGGAAATGGGAATTCTTTCAGTTTTCAAGCCTGTGCTCTCCTTTCATTGCAATGAGGACCTAATTCAGAGCTTTAAACTGTGTTCTGCAATGCATAATTAATCTGGCCTCATAGAGACCTGGACAAAAGACCCCATTCAATCTTCAGCTCCTTCCCCCTGAGATATTGTTATTTCTAAAAACTCCTGCCAGCTGGGCTGGAGGGAAATCTCAGCACTGTGGGAGAATGAACAAACTACAGGCCTCCAAGGGATTTGAAGTAACTATCTGACTAAATTGGATTAGAAAGTAAGGAAGGGGAGGGGAAGGAGAGCTTATTCTGAAGTCTACAAAAGCTCATAAAAAATTCTTAGAAGATTTTCATATGGTGAAGGGGAGAGCAATATGCAAGTTTTTATAACAAAACCGAGAAAGAATTTTAAAACATGCGTGAGCCAATACACTTGGGGATGTTTGAAGGGATTACTGCTGGTATTATTTCAGGAAAACTGTTGTGTCTGCCTTAGAGCTTTGAAATGGCATTTCTCTGAAAAATTTGGACTGCCCTGCAAACCAAAATAGTCATACTTTCCTTCCAGGTATTTGATACGTCTCCTGTTTGAACCTATAATATAGCCTAACCATAAATTGCTTTAAATTTCCTCCTAAGCACGTTGCAATTAAAAGCCTCTGCCCAGAAGGATTTCAAAGGGCTTTGGAAAAACAAACTCAGTCTTGTTAAGAGAGCCAGCACCCTGCTTTTATTCCCCGCAAGCTCATTCTCCAAAGTGTGTCGGTGACGTTGCCCAGATCACCTGGCCACCTCTCACGCATTTCACAATATTTTTAGCAGGCATGCGCATACTCAGGCATATTGCCCCATTTACCACCAGACTGTTTGGAAGACAAGCTGGAAAAAGCTCATGGTTCCAATGGGAAAGTGGGTCGCTGGGGGAAAAGATGCTTTGGGCTTTCTGCCCTGCTCTGCTGTCCCCCGCTGACATGGACCTGCTGCTCACAGGCTCCCCACTCCTGCAGCACTGATGCTGTAGTTGAATGAGGTTACGTGGGTATATCCCAGGACAAAAATTGGCTCTCTAGCTCCAGAAATGTTTTCAGAAGCCACATCTTTTAGCCACCCTAACCAACGAGCACTCCTCATATTTCAATGAGCAG